GTTTATAAACTATGACATTTATAAATGTATGAATCATTTGGTGAAAAACTGACTTTAAAAATAAATCTGTTCTTTTTTCTTATAAAAGTCTAAATAAAACAAAAACATTGGTGGTAATTTGTGACTGTGTAACTTCACAAACAGCAGCCCATGACCCTGCAGCAAACACAACGCACCTGAAACAAAAAGTGGGCGGAGCATCTTTACACCTTTTCTTTCCACTTGAAATCTTCATTTTTCCTGTTTTTGCAGCTTGRTTAGTCACTAAACGAAGTGATGCTTTTAACTTCAATTAAAAGAGGTCTGTGAAGAMACAAGGAGGCGGAGCAGAGGGGGCGGGGCTCGGCCCTGATGAGGGAGGAAGGGGAGGAGCCAGCCCAGGGAGAAGTGGACAGGTGCCACGGTTCTGGCCTGACTCGTCAGGATCTGCTGGTCTGTGAGGAGCTGCTCCAGGACCAACCATGGCTGTGAACAAGTGTGTCAAATACTCGCTGTTCTTCTTCAACCTGCTCTTCTGGGTGAGTCCAACCTGGAGCTGCTCGCTCACTTCCTGTCAGGCTCCAGCTTCAGCTTCAGTGAATCATTCATTCATTTATTTATTTATTTATTTATTTATTGTTGGAGGAGCATCAGCCTGTCCTCTGAACAAACCTGAGCTGAGTTTCAGGGCGTGGTCCGGTCCAGCAGCTCAGGTTCCTGGCCCCTCAGAGACCCGCTGAGGTCAATAATTCATCTGAAGCTGCAGCTCGTTTCACATTTCCTGCTGGAGTCGAAGCAAACAGCTTTAATCTGTGTCAAATCCACGAGTTTATTCTATCAGATTAGAGTTTAAATAAAAACCACTTCTTCAGTCGCATTAAACCTAAAAAATGGTAAATTTTTAGTGGATTTACACAAACTGACTCATGTTTGTAGCARGTTAACCTGAGAACTGTATTAATGTTTAATGTCGCTTTTTGRGTAAACTTTATTTGACATGTGAGAAATAAAAACAAAGCTCAGGTTAAAGGACTATTTACATAAAAACAAATCAGAAAATGAGAAACTCATGAAAATAATACAAAATAAGTTCATTCCTCTGATTAAAACTAATRAAATAAGATGAAGAAAACTAGACATATTGTGCAGTAATGAGCCTTATTATTAAATATGATGAATGGTGTTTAAATCAGTTTAAAGGGACGTTCCCAGTCTTCACTCATGATGGCGGCTCAGCGGACCTCCCGGGTCGGGACAGGACCGTTTGGATCAGAACTTGTTGAACTCTCAAACAGAACCACGGTGTTGTTGAAGGAGGCGGAGCAGGGAGAGGACGACTACCTGTCCAGGTGGTTTTTAGACGAGCGTCTGAAAATCATCTCCAGCAGACAAACGGCTCAGACAGGTCAAAATAAAGCAGTGATTTATTTTATTTTATTTTTATTTATTTTAAGAGAATCTTTGTTGGTTTTTTTGTTTAAGAGTTTTATAAAAAACTTCCAGGAGGASAGGTTTAGGGTGGAGGTCACTCTGACTGCAAAACCTGCTCAACCAAATACCAGAAGAGCTACGTGTGGTTTCTGTAGCCGGTGGTTGGGGGCGGAGCTTAGTTCCAGCTCTTTATTTAAAAGGATTTGCTTATAATTTGTCTCTGCGGTGAGTCGGTCTCGTCCRGACTCCATCAGGTGCTGCTCGGTTGCGCAACGACCCGTTCCTRCAAAGGCCTCAGAGCCTGTGAGTCAGCGCAGAGGGGTCAAAACGCCCACGTTCCTCATGAGTGAGGCCGCTGTCAAAATAAAAGCCCCTCCTCAACACCGCCTACATCCAGGAGCAAACTCAAAACCTGGACCTGAGCAGCTCTGGTTCACTTAATTAATCCAGATTATTCTAATGAAAGATAATCCAGAACCYCTCCATCAGTCTGACCTTTAATCCTGACATTTTTAATTTAAACTCAAAACAGAAAGGTGCAATAATCTGATTAATTACAAACTCATTTGTAATCCAGATTACAAACTAGTTTAAAATGAATCAGATTACCTCGTTAGAGTTTATGATAAAACTGTTTAAAAATACGTCAAAATTACAGAAGTTTTGATCTTTTTGGAGTTTAATCCGGATTACAAACCTGACTGAACACAAAGGTTGTGTGTTTTATGTCTGTCAGCAAAATATCTCATGAACTGGAAGCACTTCTGCCATTAAACAAACCAGATTAAAGATGGCCGCCTCGGCTCGTCGACCTCAATCTGCCACTTYGACAGATTTTGAGGTGAGTTTTACAAAGTCTGCCCGGCGGGTGATGATGCATTCCTTCGGTTTTTGTTACTTTTAAAGCAATTTTTAGTTTGGAATCAGATTTAATCCTAATCTGGATTTATTTACTTGAACCAGGACATAATTTATTTGGTTACTTTTTTATTTTTTAAAGAATTTGTATCAGATTTAGTTCATTTTTCTTCTTGAACGGTTTAAATTTGATGGAGAAGCGTGGAGTTTGAACACACCCAGTCAGGTCAGGTTTGTTTTTTGTGCTAAATAATCCTGAATAATCTGATGTGTCGCCTCCCAGGAGAAGAGAAGCTCCTGGTGGTTGTTGCTCTGCAGGTCCTGACGTCACAGACTCCAKATTTAATCTCACGTGAATCTGAAAGATGCAGGAGGTCTGAATGTCGGGAACATCAGATAACCTGGATCTGTTTCTGATTGGCTGCTCGCAGCTCAACGCCTTTTTGTTTTCAGTCTGAGGTTGAGGTGGACGTGAAACCATCAGCGTTTTTCTGTTTGTCCCTTAAACAAACTGAACTTTTTATTTTCAGCAGCTAAAATGATTTCAGCTCCTCTTCGAGGTGAGCTGTTAAAGAAAGTCTGTGAAATAAAAACTTGACTGTTGATTTAAGGGACACGATGACGTCGATGTGTTCAGATTAAAAAATGTTCTCGAGCAGAACAAAGAACGGGTTTCACAAGCTTTTTTTTTATTGGCTGCTCTGCGTCACATGACCCTCACTTCCTGTTTACATGCAAAATTAAAACATAGAATCTTCATGATCTTGTGTGTGTGTGTGTGTGTGTGTGTGTGTGTGTGTGTGTGTGTGTGTGTGTGTGTGTGTGTGTGTGTG